TGTACGAACAGTTGACGTAGGACTACGCTCACATATGATAACTATTTTGAACGAACGTTATTTAAAATTCCCGATATTATTATGACATCCGTGAATTTCACCCAAAGAGTAATAATTGGTCAGTGTCCATTTTCCGTTTAATACTAATAAGATTCTTTTTCAGTTCATGTGTAATTATTCTAGTGTTAGAAAATATTCCAAACTAACTCTTTCTTTGAAAATTGAAATTTGAAATTTGACGTTGTTGTAAAAGGATACTGTGAATACCCAGTTCAAAAGGGAAGCATCCTTCTGCCACTACTGTGTCTTCGGTGGCTATAAAACAAAGCAAATGATCAACCATATTCATGAATTATTCAGAAACTTACAGCAGACAACAAAGTAAACAAGGGGCGATGGTACGAACAGTACGCAATAAACCTTTTGGTTGGCAATTCTGGTATTTTCCTTGCAAACACCAAATCGATGCATGTGCCACCCAATGTAGTGGGCAGCTGTGATACGAGATCGAGTTGCATAAAATTCTTCATTAATTGGACGAATCCGATATTGATATTTGTGTCAACCATATGATATGATCACCATAAATACTTCTTTTTACGGTTACTGCTGGACACGGGTTGACCCGGTGGTTGGAAAGGCAGCGAGCTTCGCTACGAGAAATGGGCACTCCGGAGAGTCGGCCCAGTTGCTTCAGGATTAGAAGTTTGGTTGATACAATTTGGCTGGTTCTAGGAATTTTATTCATGTAGTAGGATTCCTAAACCATCTCTTTTGAAGTTAGTTATTGGCCCTGAAGAGGGTCGTTTCAGATAGGGAAAATGAACGAAGCTTAACCTCCGAAACCATACAGGGTTCGCTTCAGAGCGTACGCTTGACGTCTTCAGAGTAAGTAACAGTGTCACGAATGACGTTTTCCAGCAACACCTTCAGCACACCTCGGGTTTCCTCGTAGATCAGACCGGAGATACGCATTACCACGACGAGCCTGATGACAGTCTTGAAAATACCCTGTAAGTTATTATGCAACACCTTACGATGACGCTTAGCTCCTCCTTTGTCGAGTCCTTTGCTTCACTTGCCACGTCCAGGCAATGTTTATGCTGTTTAAACTGCCTTCGGGTACGGTTGACAATAGATGCGAACTAAGCAGAATGGCTCGTACCAAGCAGATCGCTCTTAAGTCCACCGGTGGAAAGGCTCCTCCTGAAATCGCCCAGGACTTTCATGACCGATCTGCGCTTCCAGAGCTCGGCCGTTGCAGGAATCCAGCAAGGCCATCTGGTCGGTCTGTTCGAAGATACCAACCTGTGCGCCATCCACGTCAAGCGTGTCAAAATTATGCCAAAGGACATTCAGCTGGCTCGTCGTATTCGTGGTGAACGCGCTTAATTTCTCCGTCGAAATATAACAAAGCTGGCCCTTTTCAGAGCCATTAAAAGATTCCACAAGAGAGTTGGGAAGGAAATTTCTGCTGCTTTCACACTGATCGCATCACAGTGAATCCTGATCTTAAAATTGCAACCAGCAAATGCCCTAGAACCAAAAGCGGTGCGATGCTAGTTTTCATTGCTGTGACGACGACTGTAAGGGGCTTAGAAGCAGAAGGATGAAAGCCAATTCTCTATCGATTTCCTCTTTTGTGATCACCATGTCTTCACTTATCTATTTCGCACTATTTCTGCTATACTCATCTTCTATCATCCACAACAACAATGGTTATCAATGAATGTTGGCCGTCGAGTTAACGTTATCCGACCTTCTTAGTTGCTCCTCCGTGAATGATCAGAACTAATCAACTTGCACAGTGCGGTTGTTCCTAGAGACCGAGAATACCTCTACATCTCCATGGCTTTCTCGGGAAGGATAGTTGTGTAAGTGAGGTAGGTTATTTTTAAGTTAGGATTCCCTGTGGTAAGTGATGCGATCGGTTAAAGCAGAATTTGTTTTTATTTCAATCTAGTGGGGATAGGATAAGGCAAAGTGAAAAATTGCAAGGATGGGGACGGGCCTGAGATTGAACCCCGACCATGTACGTAATTGGTCGATTTATTAGTTAATTCGACGCTTTTGGACAATGCTGGACATTTACCACTTTTTCAATAGTTTCTTGTTGCATTGCTTCGATGCGTAAAAATATTGCTGATCGATTGGTGATAAAAAATTTGAAATTGGACCAGGGGCAGCTGAGCTATTAACGTTCAAAATCTTTCACAATTTTGTTTCCTGTTCCATTTTTGGTTTTCACGAACTGTACCCCCATATAGAAATCGCAGACGTAGGCCTACGTCGAAATGATTTGGATACTCAAGATAGTAACTACCCAAAATCGGTTTTAATAATAACTTTAAATTTTGGAGTTGTTAGAATAATTTACAATTCGATTTCTTCGAGTACTCGACTACACGAACAATCTACAATGAGTCAATTGAAAAGTTTTATTGTCATGTAGTAACACCGTGTAATGGTTCAAAATCATGTCTTTGTTTGGCATCAATAGGTGCTATTCTAAGATTGACCATAGAGGCGTTTACGTCACTTTGCTGTCGCACGGCAGGCTTCTGCGTTCATAGGATACCATAAATTGTAAAAAAACATGCATGGCTAACCGGGGGCGTTCTGAGCGGAAGTGAACGTTCCATCTTCGTTGGCAGCCTTGCGAACGGAAGAAGGATTCGGAAATTCACGTGCGTTCTTTGATTTATTCACCCCCCCCCCCCCCACACTAGTCAATTGATATGGTAAAGAAAATCTATACAGCTACCCACTCTTTCCGTGTATGGTAGATGTCGAAACGCCACATCACGGATTTACTGTCTGCTTTTGAAAATCGGAATGATTGATATTTCCGTGAGAGGGACTGAGCAAAAGGCGTGGTGGGCAAAATAATAGCGAACTTCAACTTTGCTGGAGGACATTCATTCGATCCGATATACCGTGCAAAGTCGTGAACATTGACTTACGCGGTTACTAACCGCGCATGTAATGCGAAAAGTTTTATAGCTAACTGCTACTGTTGAAAGTTGGTTTTATTGCATCTATCAGCGCCAGGAACGATGAAACCAGCAGCAGTTCCCATCACAAACTGTCATTTTCTAAAACGTTTTTGAAATTTTTCCATTTTATCTAACACAATAAAACGCGTCGCCCCCCTTAGGATATGTTTCCCACCACTGTCCCACCATCTTTGTCGCTGCTATCCTCAGACCATCCGTCGTGAAAGCAAACAACTTTGTCCAACTGTCTGTCAGGTCGGTCAAAGCACACCTGGAGGAAAGAGGTGGGAAATCGCTTGAAGGTAAAAGTCGTTCACCATCATCTGTGGAACGGAAAATCGCTGAGGGTCCTTGGCGTGAAAAGTTGCTCCTTTCATTGTCCATGTGGTTTCCCCCGCAGCTGCCAGTTTGTTTGCGGTTCACTGCGACAAGATACGACTGCACGTGTGAGTGGAGTTCTGGTGCGGTGGAGTAAAGTTTCTGTAATTTAATGGAGAATTTCTGACAATTTTCAAGCTACCCTGTTGCTATTGCCAAATCTGCTGCTGTTAGCTTGTTAAGTTCTTGGAAAATCCAACCGAAGAACATCCTCCGCCTGAGATGTCAAACATAGACAACAAATTTACACGAAATGAACAATGAACTCCTGTTGACACAATGCCATCGTCAGACAACGAGTAGGAGAAAGCAACTCAACAGAATCACGTGCTGAGAACGAAATTAATTTCGGTTTGATATCCATCTACTACCTACTACCAACCTCCTACCATCCTGCGAAGCAGCAAGAGTAACGCACTCTACACCATCAGCAGCCGAGAACGTGGTGCTGATTAATGTTTCACAAACTAGAGAACGCGAGGGGCAGATTCGGATGCCACGCTGGGAATTGTGCACGTTAGCTTTGAAGTTGTTCTCCTAACGAGTCGGGAGGTACGTGAGCAAGCGATACCGTACCTATATGCCTTGTATATGGGCAGCGAACGTGTCCGTCCGGAAGGTGGCAAACAATCTTCGTCGTCGTCGTCGTCGACGTCGCACATAGTTGAAGAAACTCTTTGTTCGACGGTAATTGGGGAATAGTTACTTTGTCGTCAAATCAAGAAGTTGGTCCTTAAGCTGAAATGCTTTTTTGATGGTGAGGAGTGCGAAAATGTTTAGATAAAAAGCATGACATTTCATCAATCATTGCCTATTTTATCAATAAACCCACAGGGAAAAATGTTTACCAACAGATTGGTTGCTTATGCTACTTCTTCCCTGGTGCCATCTTAATATCTTACAGCTTCCCACAAACCACCAGAGACGTTTTTTCGCCACGTAAAAAAAAAAAATGTTCATGGCATGCAAGGAAACCATCCATCACCATTGCATTCCGCAACCAGTTGACTGGTTTCGGAAATCTGTTGACAGGTAGTTTATCAGATGGCCCCACCACCTCTGTTCACACACAAAGGGACGGATCTGCCTTTGAAAACAATGATTCAATTATGCAAGTGAAATTCAATAATTTCCCATCTGCGCGACCTCTAAACCTTCATCAATCTTTACTAGATTCAGACTCACATTTTGGTTCTCAATCTTAAACTTGAGAGTGGCCTATAATAATTCTATCACTTTTTTTATCAAAATGAAGCTCCCTATCCGACACCAATCTATCACGCTGCCGAAGATTACCCCAAAGTGATACGCCAAATTGTGTTTCCGCTTCTTTGCCGTTACGTAATTAAGTGGCACTTCATTAACAGTGAAGACGTCAACAACGCTTCCTTCCGCTGCCAATGTCATGGAGCCTAATTTAATTAACATCAATATCATCCCCCCATCCGTTTCCCATCTTGTGGCTTCTTGTTGACAGTAAAATTGCGAAAATATTTCCCACCACACCGACGACGGACGACGACGGACGACGACGACGACGACGACGCTGGAATCGTGGGATGACAGAGTCTGTTTTCTTTTCCAGGAATACAGAATACAAACAATCGGATTTCTTATTCTTCTTACCTGCAGTGCGTAGGCTTTCTTCCACGACATGATCTGCTCCGACTGGTTCCGACAGCGAGTCCTCAGCTCGTTGATAATGAGATGCGCATTTTTCATGTCCTTGGGCTCTTCCTGTTTTCGGGGGTGGGGAGAAGGAAAACAGAAAACAAACCGTGAAAATGAAGAGATCTCTCAACTGATTAGAGGAGTATTTCGACAAAGGGTTAATTTATTCACGGAGCAGCACCAGGAAAAGTTAAATATGCGCTCCATTAGAGCTGAAATGGAGCTGCACAATGTGAAATGGTTAAATCCTACCGGGGGTTCGTTCCATGTCAGTCTGCACAGTACATTGTATGAATAGGAAAATCAAATGCGTTTGTTAAGAAATGTTGAATATAACGGAGGATTGTTTTTTTTTCTTTATTCTTATCTGAGGTCGCACTAGATTTGATGTGCCCAAATACAACATAAGTCCACCTCCCATATAAATGCACCTTATTTGTTCCTAATCCAACACCACAAAACTGAGAATGGCTCTAATGCTGGCGTATAAATAAGGAAGATAGGGTCCATATATAAACATCTTCTGTTCTTAAATTTTTCGTAGAACAATGCGTCACACGATGACAAGGTTGACATAGAATATAATATAAAGCGGTATCACTGCTTTGTGTTTACATGGTTGAAATTTTCATTCAGTTCGGATTCCCGCTCGCTGTCTCGAGTTTTTTGTTTCGTTCTTCGTTTTTTTCGTTTCGCGCCGTGGAACGAGGGTTACCAAAACTACAGATAAATCTGTATTTCTACAGATTTTTCAGAGATTTTAAAACCAACATTCTGTATTCACAGATTACAGATTTTTAGGGTTTAAATAGATTACATATAAAATATAAAATATGATCGAACCTTAAGAAAATAAAACTTGAGATGTTTAAAACCAAAACATTATTTAAACTTATTTTACCATCACCAACTTATATATCTAAGCATGTTTTATTTTTGCGGGATTAAAAAAGAGAATGAAAACTGTCAAAGGTATTCTTTTTTGCCAAACCATAAGTAATTTATGATACATATATGTTTATCTATTTTGTTGTTTCTATCAGAAAAATGGCTGAATCACTTTTCAAAGGAATTTTTTTAAATTATCAACACAGATATCATCACATATTTTCTGGACAATAACTAAGATGAAAAGATTTTTTTGGGCAAAAACACAGAGTTACTTTTGGCAACTCTGCGTGGAAGTGCCGTCATCTTCACACGCTCTGGCAAGTTTGGTTCAACTTGCCAAAAACCGGCGTACTAGCGCATCAGCAGTAGGAGGTCCTACGAAGAAGGACCGAACGCAGACCGGATGACCGTCAATGAACGACGCTGAAAACTGTGTGCTGCAAAGCAACCAGTTCTCAGTGCTCGAGGAAGACAAGGGAGGTGGTAGTGACGCCGTTGCCATCACAAAAATGGAGCGGATTCCCCCACTCTTCACTTCAATGAAGGATGTTGACCAGCTTAGGACTGTGTTGACAGATCACAACCTACAGCCTCGGTTTAAGCTCTGCAGTGTCGGAACAAAAATTATGTGATCCAGCCTGGAGGAGTACAAGGCTATCGGAAGTTTCCTGAAGGACAACAAGGTGGATTTTTACAATCATCCCGAACCTAGCACCGCTTCCCCTCAACAATTAACGAGCCCTTAGCACCCCCGCTGGGTATCAGCCCAGCATCGCCTCACTGCTGCAGCGGCTCAGCCGAACCAAGGTCCCTCCACTGCCCCTGGTTTATCGTATGCCAGTGCTGTGTCAGGTGAGTCCGTCGACGATTCCCTATTTACCTCGGAGGAACTTGTGACACTTGTGGCAGAGGTCATCATCATCCTGCGCACCTGCCAGACCAGATCTGAACAGCTTCATGCTACCCTGTCCCTTGTCACTAAGTATGGACTGTGAAGTTATAAAGATTACAAATTGGAACGCTTGCTCGCTGAAGAACAAGCATATCGAACTACTTGACTTCCTTAACGCCAAGGAGATCGACATTGCCATCATCACCGAAACCCATCTAAGGCCGAAAGTCAACATCTACCTATTGGATTTTCGGTTATTGAGACTCGACAGAACCAGTGCAAGACGAGGGGGAGTAGCCGTTGCTGCGAGGCGTAACATCAACTGCCACCTGCTGCTGTACTTTCAACTCAAAATTATCGAAGCCATCGGGGTTGAAGTTGGCACATCGCTTGGCCCCATCACCATCATTGCGGCTTACTGCCCCAAACAAGTCAACAACAGGGACGGGTCGGCAGCGAACCTTCGACGAGATATCATCAAGCTGACTCGGCGGCGGCAAAAATACATCATCGCTGGCGACCTGAATGCCAAACGCAATCAAAACGGCACCATCCTGAACAACGATCTGCAGGAAACGCAGTACAACATCTTAAGTCCGGACACTCCCACTCGGTTGAGTAGGTCCGGTGCTCACGCCACCATCGATATCTACATCAGCAACATTTCGCAACCTGTCGTGTATCAGGAACTCAGCTCGGACCACTATCCGGTGGTGGCTGAAGTGAGTTCCTCAATCAACAAGTTCCAAGCATCACGGCGAAACTACCATCGAGTAGAATGGTCGCAGTTACAACACTGCATTGACACCAGTATCGACTATGACGTCCACCCGGAAACGACCGACGACATCGACCGGTGTCATCATCTTTCCACATTCTAAATCTCCGAGACTTGTTCCGTCGGAAAATAATAAGATCTGCCTGAACGGCACAGTGGCGGAATGGTCGAAAGAGGTAGTCTATCTTGGCTTAACACTAGACAGCAAGCTGATTTTCAGGGAGCACGTTGATAAAACTAAAACCAAGTGTAACATCCTGATAAGATCCCTGTATTCACTCATCAACAGGAGGTCTACCCTGTCCCTGAAAAATAAGCTTGCTGTCTACAAACAAATCATCCTTCCCGTAACAGAATACGGGATGCCAATCTGGGAGAGTTGCGCCAAATGCCATCACCTCAAATTCCAAAGGTCCCAGAAAGGTTCGGAGACACCTGTCTGAGATCAACTCATCAGATCCTACGTGATCTAGCACGTTAGTTTAAGTTATACTCGTAGTTAGGTAGGTTATCACTTTTTTCAATTCAACCATAACACCCCTCTCCCCCAAGGGGTATTCTGTAGACTGCACGTTGTTGGCGACGTACCACTCCATGGCCTTTTTACCGTAATGGCAAGATGCCAAATCCGGCCAAAACAGTACGGAACAACCGTGTTTCTTCAGGAAAGGCAGCAGACGTTTATTCAAACACTCTTTCACGTAAATTTCTTGGTTGACAGTCCCGGAAGCTATAAAAATGCTGCTTTTCAAGCCACAGGTACAGATGGCTTGCCAAACCAGATATTTCTTTGCGAACTTTGACAGTTTCATGTGCTTGAAAACATCTGCTACCTTCCCCCTCCCTTTTGCTCCTGTCCCGGAAGCTGCTTGTAGTCGGCTTTGACGTAGGTTTCGTCGTCCATTACCACGCAGTCAAACTTCGTCAGCATCGTCGTGTACAGCCTCCGGGATCGCGCTTTGGCCGTCGTATTTTGTTTATCATCGCGATTTGGAGTCACTACCTTCTTGTAAGTCGATAGTCCGGCTCGTTTTTTGGCTCGATGCACGGTTGTAGACGATACACCCAGCTTATTTGCGGCATCTCGGAGAGAGAGGTTAGGGTTTCGCTTGAAACTACCTGCAACTCTCTTTGTCGTCTCAGCGGCTTCCGGTTTTCGATTTCCCCCCGATCTAGACTTCCTGGCTGTCGACAAACGTTCCCCAAACACTTTAATTACATTTGTAACGGTTGATTTGGCAACTTTTAGCGATTTTGCCAACTTTGCGTGCGAGTAGCTCGGATTTTCGCGATGCGCGAGCAAAATTTTGATACGCTGCTCTTCTTGCTTGGACGGCATTTTGACAACTGAAGAGTGAATTCCAAAATCAAAATAGGAGCAACATTCTACACACACACACCTTCAAAATGAGGGGTGTTCAGGTTTTTTAAATGCAAAATTGAAAGAAATACGTCAAGTTGATATTGACCAAATTTTGACCGTATAACCCTTTAGTAGGAAAACGTGAATACGTAAATTAGAATAACAAATTAAACAAAGATGAAGAGCCTAATAGACTAATCAATTAAAATTGTACAATTGCCGATACTGTTGGTGCCCTTATGCCTTTTTGGGGGATACACCTCTAAAGAAATTCTACAGGGTATTTGAGGGATGTCCATAATTTCGAAAGAATTTATGTTTTGGAGGAAACCCTAACAAATAATTCACCATGTCGCGCAGAATATGCCTGCTTACGTACTAACCCCAGATGGTCATAGGATCCGAACCCAACGCAAATTGTATAGGAAAATAGAATTGCAGAATCCAGTTCCAATTGCAGCATTGATAAATGGTGTCAACAAGAACCCGGTCCACAACGATCCTGCCATTCTGTAGAAGCATCAGCAACCGCAGTAGTTACTCTCCCGTAGAACCACTTGATACGATTGATGGTCCACCAATAATGTTTGCCGTACAGTTCATTCTATGGACTGAAATATCTTGGAGATTCGATTGACTGTGGAGGCTGGTGGAGTTAATGGATCGCATATTAGCAACATTTAAAAGGATTCTGCATACAGAATTGTAAAGGGAACCACACCGGAGGTAACGGAGCCAATCTGAATTGGAAGCCAATTCCGCACACTACCAATAAATCATGTAAATTTACATGTCCTGAGCAGGCATGGAAAATCATTTGCATTCATTTCGTGCATTCATTTACATTCATTTGCTCTAACTTTTTTCATCAACAGCATTCCGCAAAATGATGTATAGATCTTTTGTAGGTTTTTTTTATTATCTACAACTTTTGTCAACAAGTTAAATTCGTATCTTTGATGCATGACGAACCAGAGCGAACAGATACCACTACTGTTTTTCAATGAATGTATTTTACATTCACTGAAAAACAGTAACAAGTTCTGAACGCTCTAGTTTGTGATGAATAAGAGATACAGATTTGAGTTATGAGCAAAAGTTGTAGCTAATAACAAAACTTACAAAAGATCTATACATCATTTTGCAAAATACTGTTGATGAAAAAAGTTAGAGGCAAATGAATGTAAATGATTTTCCATGCCTGGTCCTGAGACCGACTCGTGCAAGCGGCCCAAATGACATAAGAAACAGTTGAAATAGACGAGAAAATAAATTCAATCAATCGTACTTTTCGTCGAGTTGTGTATGTTTCGGTTTGGGAACACCTAATTTTACATGACATGCTAGTTAACGTTCCATAATCTACGTCAATGATGGATTGCGTCTCGTGTAAAAATAGTTATTTTTAAGTTTGTGGCGAGACCCAGCAAGGATGACAAATATGAAGGAACAACAAGCAGAGACAAAGAAGAGGTAGTAATTAACCAACCAGTATCAAGATCTTGGACCAGTATTTGGATGCTGTTGGAAATTAGTCGATGGAAAATGTTGATGAATGGATTAAAAGTAAGAGGTTGAGAGCCATGAGAAAGAAGAAGAGCAATACTAGCAAATTTTAAATTCGTTAATGAACAATCTTAGTGGTTTGTGCCTCCTGTTTATTTATAAGGGTGCTCATAAGTTCAATGTCATGGATGCAGTCGTTTGACTATCTGACCAAAAAATTTATAGCTCAGTTAAACGAATTCAATACCTTACAGCGACTGCTGACATTAGGAAGGCTCGACTGAAGGTGTATTGCTGCTTCTATTTACTATCGCCTTCCTGATTTCTAGGTTGTATCACATCTTCCACTCGCCATTTGAGTACTTATGATACAGGATTCGGCGCACGTCTACCAGAATGACGCCCGGTACAGAACTTTCTTCTCATAGCTGGACCGTGGAAGGGCTGAACTTCGAGGTTCAACGGTCAGTGTATACTGGCTAACAGTTCCAGTAGTAGCCGACAATCTAGCGTATGTTAATCTTCTCATTCGTTTGGCATCGTTGAACCAAGAGGAATGAATGTTCTACAACAACAACAACAACAACAACAACAACAACAACAACAACAACAAATAGACTCACATGCGTGTTATTTGATGGTCGTTTTACTTATAAACAGGCCAGGTACAGCGATTACCCACGTATATACAATTCAATATGCACACAAATAGCTCGTTTTACCATCCGTGAGAACTTGACAATGTAAACACAAAATCTCAAAAGTCATAACTGCAGGGTTGCCAAACTCATGGAATACTGAGACCGACAGCTTGATTGCCACGCTTCGGCACGTTGCGTGCTGGACACAGCTTACAGCACAGATAAAGTATTTTGCACAGATTGAGATGTGCAGAGTTGAGTATCCCTTGAATATTATCTAATGTCTCCCAGTTGGGCGCAGAAGGACTTCTTAGGAAGTCGGATAAAACTTTGTGAAGGAGTCGGATGAGTCTTCCAGGGGAAATCAACTGAATCTTTTGCGGAAAATAGACAACAAATCCGGTTACGTCAGAAGACACTACCAGAGGAAGACAGTAGAATTTCTGAATTAAGTTTGATCAAAATTGCCAGGAAACCCGGAAAGAAATAACCATGCAATTACCTTAAAATAAAATATGTATAGTCACAACAAAATCTTTTGCCATCAATAGACATTATTATATAGCCATTCCATAGCAAAACGATATAGCGGTTCTCAGAATTTCGTAACATTTGGTAGTTTTGTTCCTTATCGAAAAATATTAGACCCGTAATTTTTATTTTCTCATTAGGGTGGCCGTTTACATGTCAGGGTAGTCTAAAAACTCGACAATACACAATGTATCAAAAAATCAGCGATGTTTTTTCTTCGTTTTTGAGTTACCGAAAAAAGGGGTATCTTTGATAATGCGGGTAACTTTGATAGTATAATGTAAAGACTAAACTTACTCGCTACGCTTTTTCCAAATTAGAAACATTGGTTCCATATTGTAGCTTAGGGTTTTTCCGTTGATATCGTATATAGTTTTTATATAGTATGTGTTACATATTTTACAAACATATTAAAAGACAATTTTCGTGTTTTTCGCCTGTTTGAGAAAGCACTCAAACCATCACTTATGAAAAGTATTTCCGATATAGCCATCACAAAATTCAATGTTGTACTCTTATTGCTTATGATGTCTTCTGATTATATACTCATTCAAAGTTTCATATTTAAAGATCTAAATTGTTAGAGTTTCACCCTTTTTTTCTACATTCATCGAGCATTATCAAAGTAACCCCAAATCAAAAAACTGAAGTTCGGTCACAAAACTAAAAAAAAAGTGCAAATGCTTTAATTTCCGTTAAACATATTAGTAACGAATTGATTCTTGAATCCTCAGTACTTGTTTTAAAAATTTAAAATTTGAAAAACATTCATTGCTGTAAAAATTATGTAGAATATAGTTTAAAAAACTATCAATGTTACCCCGTTTTACGGTACGATTTTTTGAAATTATCATGTTTAGAAATTGGTAGTCTAGGATCAGAAATTGAAATAAGTAAGTAATGTAACCATGTTACATTCGATATGTATCAATGGAGACGCAGGGTAATCTAGTCGTATTGGGCGAAATTTCTAAACATGATAATTTCAAAAAAACGTAACTCAAAAACAAAGAAAAATACATCGCTGATTTTTTTATATGTTGTGTAGAAAAGCCTAAATTTTCAAAGAAAAATATAAAAAACGTTTTACGCCCATTGTCTACAAACCATGAAAACCATAAAAAAAATAACAAATACAATCGAAGTTTTTCTATACACAATTCCAATTTTTAAAACTTTTTGAAATGTAATGATTTAAAAAAAAAATCATTTTTGGAAGAAAAAGAAAGAAAAAAAAATCGTTTTTTTGGACCACCCTAACATGGAAATGGTCACCCTAATGATAAAATAAAAAAAAAATAATGGTCTAGTATTTATTGATAAGGAACAAAACTACCAATTGTTACGAAATTCTGAGAACCACTATATCGTTTTGCTATGGAATGGCTGTATATGCGTATCACACAAGTGAATTTAAAATATTGTTGTTAGAATAGATCCACAATACATCCATACAATATGAATGTTAAACAATAGAAGAGCAATATAATTAATGGTAAATGGCTCAAATTTGTTCAGGAAAAAAGTTTGTTCAAGAAAAGTGATTGTTTGTATAGTTGAGATACATAACAACTCCCTTGTTCTATTGTAGAATTCCTTTACCGTAGATTGTATTGAGGAAACTTTAAATTCTAGGAATATTTTATCGTTGTGGACAATTCTTCAATGCATGAAGTGTAAATATTTACATAATTGACAAATATAAGGTAATTATGACATTTTGATCTTTGAAAACAACGCGAGACAAAATGCGTCAGGATCTGTCATGATTACCTGAGTTTTGTCAAAAAAAAACGTTAATATTTACGCTGTGTGCATTGAAGAATACGATTTACTGTAAATACAATAATTTCTATTGCACAGCAAAATATTAATTTTGATATCACATCAAAGTGGATGCACTTCAATCGTGTCGAAAATATGGCATATTGGCAAGTAATATGCCAAAATGGACAAAATTATCATTAATACAGTGCACGAACTGACATTAGGCTGCTTTTGTTTATTTTTGAGGCCATGAAAATTACATGAGATTTTCGAAAGGATGGAAATGCATCCTCCTCTTGGATGTAATATTAAAATTTATTTTTTGCGTTTGTATTGGACTGATGCAAAATTTGAAATTTTAGCTCCACAGTACTCAAACGGTCCCAAATTGGGCCCTGATTAGTCTTCCAAAATTTGAAGTCATTTAGTAAGAAACTGACTTGGCACAAACCATTTGAAGTTTATATGGGAATTACTATGGAGAAACCATAATTTCGATTCATTTGTATCTCAAAATTCACCAGTTCACTCTACTTTAGCTGAGCTTCTTGAACATTTTCACAGCTACAATTTTGTTGAAGACCAGTTTTCGATCAAATGTAAGGAACACAAGTTATTAATGATTCAAGTCACTGATGTCTTATGATTATGCTCAATCATCTGTTCAGCAGGCAACATTGGTGTTTATGGCGCGTAGAATAGAGGACAAAAACCATGGCTACTATGTTACACTGCAGAATACAGTGTTGCCCACAATACAGTTGCTTAATCTTGCCATAAGATTATCAATCTCTTAAACAATTTATAACTATTTAATTTGACGTTTGGCTGAAAAAAAAATGCAAAGTTGTAGCTGATAAAAGTTCCCATAAGAATAGCGATAGAACTTGTTAACAGACAATGAACAAAAAGTTTTGTTTTCGCATAGTAACTTCCATATAAACTTCAAATGGTTTGTGCCATCAGTTTCAGTCAAATGAGTTTAAACTTTTGGAGGCTATTCAGGACCCGATTTGAAACCGTTTGTACACTGTGAAGCGAAAATATCAAATTTTGCATCAGTCTAGTGTGTATGGTTACAAAACATTTCATTGTATCACTATGGTAATTTTTTACGGGATGCCAGATGCGTCCGTGGCCAGTGACCATTTTCATCTTTCTTCTTCCCAAGAAAAATAAAACCCTTCTCCTCGGAATCGTGGCCATACCTCACCAATCTGAAGTGCAATTCTGACATGAAACGGCCCTCCGAAAGTCCACACTTGTAACACCCGAAATTGTTGAATAAAATTTTCAGTGAACCCACCTCCTCATTATCACAATCGCTGTGCTGTTCGTTCGCCTCGTTTTTCACCGTGGTCGTTGGCATTGCGGATGAAGTATTCCTCGCTGTGACCCCTTGTCGTCCGTGCAGTAAATACACTCTCACACACTCGCACACACACACACACGCTCAGCGAGCGAAGGAGCTTTCACTCACGGCGTCGCTTTTTGTTAGATTTTTCTTGTGGCCGCCGGATTGTAATACGGTTCAAAACACTTCCAACTTCTCCGGATCCAACGCCCACCTCAACACGACGGACGGATAGAGATCATTCACGCTTCACTGCTTTCGGGCAGCACTGATGGTAGGATATTCCTTCCACTGCTGCAGTAGTAGTGCATGCTTGCCACCGCTTTCCGACGGATCCATCCGGGTTGATTGCGCCGACTGTACCACCACTTCAAACAATTCTGAAACGGGAAAGGTGAAGGAAACATTTTTCATTAGGAAAATCTGTTGCTTCGGCTTTTTGTTTGGTATGCACGGCCGTTGAATCTGACTCACATTTGAGGTCCGTTTACTCAATGTCACTCAAATGTGATATTTGAGTAAAATTTTACTCAGTCTGTGAGTGACGAACATTTTTGCGAATTTGAGTAAACGGAACTCAATGATGAGTCAGACTCAACGGCCGTTCAATGCTATGTGATTCGCACGACGGAAGAAAATGCAAACAAACACCGGTTGCCTCCCTTTTTTGCTGTTGGAAAATCGACGGCAATATGGGCCTGCTGGGGGGTATATTTTCGGTACACCACACTCAGCAGTGAAATACCTGTTGAATATTTGATCCCCATATTGTGGGGCGACGACGAGGGTGTATTTTCTGTTTTCGGGCGAAAACTCGAATATTCACAGTTTTCTCACACACGCCCCCCAGTCGTCGCCGTTTCTCTGGAGAATGGGAAAATGGTGGGATATTTGCATCACCAGCTCTTTGAAGTTGCGCAGGTTTTTGATTGTTAGAATTGTTCGATGATGACTGGGGAAAGTATAAAGGAGCAGATTCATGAGGGATCCTTCCCGGAAATGTTACCAACATTCGCACAGCGTGTTTGTTCCACTCGTAGTTCCGATGAACGGATGAAAGATATCGGTCTGACATGGGTGGCGAGTTAGGCGAGGCATTAGCTGCGTTGTTCAACAGTGTTTACATTGAAACAATCGCTAATACACAGCAAAAAATAAAACAAGAAAACTATAAGGGATAGCCCAATGGGATTCTACGAACAGTTGACGTAGGACTACGTTCACATATGTTAACTATTTTGAACGAACGTTATTTAAAATTCCCGATATTATTATGACATCCGTGAATTTCTTCCGAAGTGTAATAATTGGTCAGTGTCCATCCGTTTTATACTAATAAGATTCTTTTTCAGTTCATGTGTAATTATTCTTGTGTTAGAAAATATTCCAAACTAACTCTTTCTTTGAAAATTTAAATTTGAAATTTGACGTTGTTGTAAAAGGATACTGTGAAAACCCAGTTCAAAAGGGAAGCATCCTACTGCCACTACTGTGTCGTCGGTGGCTATAAAATAAAGCATACGGTTGATCAAGAATTAGAAACTTACAGCAGACAACAAGGTAAACAAGGGGCGATGGTACGAAAAGTACCTACGTAATAAACCTTTTGGTTTGCAATTCCGGTATTTTCCTTGCAAACACCAAATCGATGCATGTGCCACCCAATGTAGTCGGCAACTTTGTCGGCAGTCTGATACGAGATCGAGTTGCAGAAAATTCTTCATAAATTGGACGTCCGATGTTCTCAGCTTTTGAAACGTCTTCGTTGAAATCCCCCGCAGGTTCCAGGAATTTCATTCATGCCAAGTTTAGTAGAACTCCTAAACCATCTCTTTTGAAGTTAGTTATTGGCCCTGAAAAGGGCCGTTTCAGATAGGGAAAATGAACGAGGCTTAACCTTCGAAACCATACAGGGTGCGCTTCAGAGCGTACGCTTGGCGTCTTCAGAGTAGGTAACAACGTCACGAATGACGGTTTCCAGCAACACCTTCAGCACACCTCGGGTTTCCTCGTAGATCAGACCGGAGATACGCATTATCACGACGAGCCTGACGACAGTCTTTGGAAATACCGTGTAAGTTATCATGCAACACCTTGCGATGACGCTTGGCTCCTCCTTCGCCGAGTCCTTTGCCTCCCTTGCCACGCCCAGGCAATTTTTATGCTGTTTAAGCTGCCTTCGGGTACGGTTGACAAGAAATGGATGCGAACTAAGCACAATGGTTCGTACCAAGCAGACCGCTCGTAAGTCCACCGAAGGAAAGGCTCCTCCTGAAATCGCCCAGGACTTTCAAGACCGATCTGCGCTTCCAGAGCTCGGCCGTTGCAGGAATCCAGCAAGGCCATCTGGTCGGTCTGTTCGAAGATACCAATCTGTGCGCCATCCACGTCAAGAGTGTCACAATTATGCCAAAGGACATTCAGCAGCACGTCGTATGGTGAACGCTCTTAATTTCTCAGTCGAAATCTAAAAAAACCTTTTCAGAGCGAATAAAAGATTCCACAAGAGAGTGGGGAAGGCAATCTCTTTTGTGATCACCATGACTTCACTTACCTATTTCGCACTATTTCAAGCTGAACATTGCATTAGGTCCTAAGTAACATTGATCGATTCTCTTCGTCGACTTTTTCTTTCGTTACTAACTTGAGCACTTGTTGTGTTTGTCGTATTATATGCTAGATAAAAGCTTCTTTTGTCGATCGGTGTGCTGAAAATACCTGGGAATGTCTTTACATGGCCGTGGCGTTACAAAGAGAAAGTCGATGAAGATAATCTGTCAATGTTACTTAGGACCTAATGCAATGTTCTGCTTGATTTCTGCTATTCTCTTCTATCATCCACAACAACAATGGTATCAATGAATGTTGGCCGTCGAGTTAACGTTATTCGACCTTCTTAGTTGCTCCTCCGTAAATGATCAGAACTAATCAACTTGCACAGTGTGGTTGTTACTAGAGACCGAGAATTCCTCAACATGTCCACGGCTGTCTCGGGAAGGATAGTTGTGTTAGTGAGGTAGTTTATTTTTAAATCAGGATTCATGTGGTAAGTGATGCGATCGGTTAAAGCTGAATTTGTTTTTATTTAAATCTAGTGGGGATAGGCTAAGGCAAAGTGAAAAATTGCAAGGATGGAGGCGGGCCTGGAATTGAACCCCGACCTTCTGCAGTAAGCAGAAACGGTAACCACTGAGCTACCGAGCCTCGTCTAAATGCTACATCGACATGTTCCGTGTTTCGTGTTGGGAAAGCAGCATAAGCATGTACGTAATTGGTCGATTTATTAGTTTATTCGACGCTTTTGGACAATGCTGGACATTTTCCACTGTTTCAATAGTTTTTTGTTTAAAATCAACAGCATTGCTATCGATGCGTAGAAATATTGCTGATCGATTGGTGATACAAATTGTGAAATTGGACCAGGGGTAGCTGAGTTATTAACGTTTAAAATCTTTCACAATTTTGTTTCATGTTCCATTTTCGGTTTCCACAAAGTGTACCCCCATATAGAAATCACAGACGTAGTCCTACGTCAAAATATGGTCACATCAAAGAGGATGCACTTCAACCACGTCGAAAATGTGGTGTTATTTTAGTTGGCAGGAAGGAACAAATTTGGCATTCGGGCAGCGAATGTATTGAAATTGGAGATGGTCAATCAGATCCGGATCCGGTGAATGATCCTGATTCCAGATCATCTACTCACAAGAGTTGTTTTTCTTTGTTCTCCGATCAGATTTGTCATGCTGATTACTCATGGTTACTCTATGAGTAACCAGCTTCAAAAACTGATTATTAATATTAATTTTGTTTTTTTTTTTTATAAATATACACTGGGCGTAGAAATATCGTTTCTCAAATAAAAGCTGCGCTCCAAAATATATAAATTAATTGTTGGCCACTTATCCAAATTATTATGCGCTTATATGAGCAAAATTGAGCTGATTACATACATCATGAGTAATGATCTAGATGCAATCTTCTCCTTTAAATGTGGAAAAACAAACGTTTGAAAAAAATCCGCTTTCAAATGTTCTAGGAAAAATTGGATGCACGCACCCAGCAGGTACAAAATGTTTGGTTTTAATTCACCCACCCTATGAATGCTCATGCATTCCTATGAAGACATCTCCAAATTCATTAAGAAACTTATGAATGCAAATTTTAAATAGGCGCTCTTATGGCGCTAAGTCGTGGATAAAACGCGATTAATCTAGATTAAATTTTAATACCCCATTCGGTAGGCACTAAGCCATGATAAAACATAGAAAGCACGCAGCCATTCTCTCTCGAATTGTAAAGAATGTCAAGATGTGAGTGTATTCAGCTATGCAGGCGGACGAAAATTACTAGACCAACAATTGAAATAAGCGTAACAACCAAACATAAGCAACAACTTTAAACGCTTATTTCTAGAGAATCAAAACACACCTACGCAAACTAACAATGCCATTCGATGAAGGAAGTATATTCTTTCAGATACCGGTGTTATATTGCGTTTGGTTGTTCCACCTATATCAATTGTTGGTCTAGATATACTGCTCAGGAAGCCCTTTTTGAAACTAACAAAAATCCTTAAAAATGAGCCAAGTCACCCATCTGATAACCTCTGAAGAGAAGGTTGATGCTATAGGTCAGCACTTCGTCAGCTCTCATAATCTCGAACTGAACATGGCAAGTCCATATGATACTGCGGTTGCTGAAAATGCAGCCAACCTCCATCAAATTCCCAACAATTTTCCAGTGGAATCCGATATTACGGCTGACGAACTGTTGGCCGATATCAAATTATCTAAAAACATGAAGGCCTCAGGTTTCGACCAAATTCTGAATCTGGAACTCAAACACTTGAGTTCAGAATTCTTCAACCAACTTAGACTTGGCTACTTCCCATCGTGCTGGAAGTCAGCTAAAGTCATCCCCATCCGGAAGCCTGGGAAAGATCCATCCTCTCCTTCAAGTTACCGACCCATCAACCTTCTCTCGGGGTTATCTAAGCTGTTCGGAAGGGCAGTCTACCACAGACTCCTGGCATTTGCCGATGAAAATAACTTGTTACTCGAGGAACAGTTTGGCTTCCGTAAAGGTCACTCGACTGTTATCCAGTTGACTCGAATGTCAAACATTCTCAGACGGAACAAGAATCTAAAACATCTGCCATGACATTGTTGGACGTTGAAAAAGCGTTCGACAATGCCTGATACGCTGGCCTGGTCTACAAATTGCAGCTATACGGTATTTCAATCTTCCTTATGAAGATCGTAGCGATACCTTCAACATCACTCCCTGATGGTGGATCGTTGTCCCTGTTCGCATATGACACATCTATCATCTATAAGGGTAGGTTCATCGGAGCTCTGACCACCAAACTGCAGAGAGG